GTATTGTTTGGCCGCGGAGCGCCGATGAGAAATGGGAGGCATAGATCCCGGTGCCGCATCTCAAGTAGGCACGTCCCATGCTGGCTGGCGGTGACCATTTGTTAAAGTCCACTTTCGCCGCCACCTGTCCCCCATCGGTTAGGAAAACGGCTCATAACACACACCGTCGTCCGCTGCGCAGTTACCATCGTTGTTTTTTGTTCCCGTCCAAGGGAACGGGGGCGTCTCGAAGACCGTCTTGCGGATAAAATGTCGATGTCGTTATGTCCAATAGCTGCCACCATGATGATAGCCCCCGTATCTTCTCCGCCGTGATTTCTATATTTAAAGTTGTGCACATATATACACGATTGTTTATTCCTCGTTTCGCCGTCCGATCTCGCCCGACATTATCCCGAATGCATCGTGCGCTTCGCGTGCATTTCGCGTCTCTTTCTCGAAACGGAGGAGATATATCGTTTAATTCTTTTCCTTTTTTTACGATTAGATTTTGAACAATCTAATCTCGGGAAAGGGAAGTAAGTTCGTTTCGTCGAATAATTGTAAAAAAAAAAAAAAAAAAAAAAAGAATAATTGTCGAAGAATCTTATCCGTTCGCGAATCAAATTTGCCGAACGATTGACAAAAGCTGGAAAGAGGGGGGATGCTATGCAGGGGAGAAGGAGAGGGGGGGAAAAATGTGACAAGTTCGTGGAAGCTCGCGGCTCGTCATGTCGCTCGTCAATTTTTGGCCGCAGCGAGTATAGCATGAAACCGTATATCGGAATAACGGTTTATGCGTCTCTCTAAATCACGCACTTCGTATTGGCGCTTGTTGAACTCGGTTGCATTCCTATCGCGCTATGCAACGTAACGCGAATTTGCCGGCATTCGTGATATAATCACAAATTAATTACTAGGGCTTTATTGAAATTCGCGTTGGGTTTTTGCAAAATTTTGGAAAATTACCGAAGATCGATTCGAAATTGGAATTCTGCGATGCGGCCGTTTACGGGCGCGCGCGAGGCAAGGCAATACGATACATATTTAATATTCAGCTGGGATAATTTATTACAAGTCACGAAGACAAACAAACGTTTCGCTATTATTATTACGTTCGATAAATCGAAAGTAGTCGATCGTTACACGGAATGTATATGTATATATATATATATATATATATATCGCCGTCCTGTCAAAGTGATAATTGTAAAATGATATTTCGCTTTAATCGATATCGTTACACCCTTACGATTGTTGCGATAAGTTAATTAAGGTTGGCGGAGGTTTGAGGGAGTATAATGTACACCGGGTTGTTACACCGGGTTGTCTCTGCTTATATTGATATGCAACATATATCTCGGGCTTATAGGGTTATTAAGGACTTCATCCGTGTCTCATGGCAGGATTACTACGTTATTATCCTTCGGTAAGTGGCAGGTTGGTCGGTCGGCTGGTTAGTTGGTCCCTCGTAAGGAAGGCCAAACATCGCCTCCTCCTTTTACTCGGTCCCTTGAGCCAGCGGCGAAACTAGTAAGACATTCCCCTCCCTACCAAAATCGTCGGGTGGAATGGGACCCAGTTGTGAATTTGACCCTCGTAATTAATTTATAACCGGCGTTCTTGTTGCGAACCCGACCGGGGGTAAGCGGAGTGACCTCGTACGGTACAGTTCCACTCGAGTTTTAGCCAATTAACGATACCGCTCGAAAACAAACTTATCCCCGCTTTCACGCGTAATCAATCCCTCTCGTTTCCACTCTCCCTCCTTCCCTCCACTATTAAATTTTGTCACAATCTTTCAACTCGTCCGTTGAAACTATTCGTCCCTTCTTCGAAGTCTTCAATGTGAATTGATTTTACGATTAATTTTCGATCTCTCGACGGAGTTTCGCGAGAAATCTTAACTTCCAGCGATACTTTGCGATCGCGCCAGAGAGAGATGTTACGTACGTTACGAAAGCAAGGATTCCTCGAGATTCCTCTAATGCCTTGGACTTCCATTTTGAATATATATACACACACACACACACACACAGAATATTCTCCCGCCACTTATTACGAACCTAACGCAAATTCGACACGAGGATGAAGGAACGTTGTTGGAAGGTGGTCGAAGGAGAAGTGGTGGAGGAAGGTAGGGCGGTGGAATCCATAGATCGCGGGGCTAACAATCAGCCGTAAATTATGGTCTCAATATCCATTGTGTACCCTTCTTGCTCTCGAACGAGTCTAACCCCAGAGTCTAAGGCCAAGACTACTCACCCCCTCCCTTTGGAAGGCACAACGGTGGAAGGCACAGCGAGAGGGTCGGTCGGCTCTCTCACGGCCCAACTGAACCAAGAGATATGTATATTAATGGGGCAATCTTACATAGTTTTGTTTACCTTGCCATTCTCTTAGTACGTATACAATTACTATCCCTAGCCCCTACGGTATGCTTAGTGCAGGGGCTGAACTGCCTCCTCCTTGTTCGTTCGCTCTCTCTCTCTCTTTCTCTCTTCCCTCCACTCCTCGTCTGTACGAAACTATCAGATACCGTGCAACTTCGCCCCCATTAATCGACGCCGAGTAGGCATCGCGTATTCGTAACGCGTATCGGCGTTTTATCGCCGGCGAAGGATAAAAAAAAAAAAAGAAAAAAGGAAAGAAAAACAATATCTCACCATCGACGAGGCATCCAATTGACGATCCATGAACGATGCGTAAAGCGAAAGGGTGATTTGCCGAGGAAAGATGCGTGTAAAAACATGTACAGGACAATATTGACGGAAGGAGGGTCTCCGATAAAAGCGGGTTCCGTTCTTGAAGGGTTTAAACGGAAGCGGGTCGATGGAAATCCCATTCTACGCGGCACAGGGGCTTTCAGCAAAGAAAATATTGTCCACGATGCGAGCGATAGCGAAGCGGAACTTTTTCACCTTTCGTCCCTCCTCCGCCCTCCCCCTCTCTTTTTTAATTCCGTACGTGGCCGAGCACGAGCAGCTTTGTACCGGGAATGTACATTTCTCTCGTTGAACAAGCTCATTTGTGTAATCCCCGAAGCTTCGACAACAAACTGTCTGCGGCATTGGAGCGACGCTGAGAGCGTATATAGGAAGGGGGTGTGAGCGCGACATTAACGTACTTTGTAGTTCAACTCTCTGTGGCAGTTATACCACCATCGTCTCCCATCTCTGACTTTCTCTCTTTTCGTCTCCTGACCTCGTCGTCTCTTCTCCTCGCTCGCGCTTCTCTCTCTCTCTCTCTCTCTCTCTCTCTCTCTCTCTCTCTCGCTCGCTCGCTCTCCCTCTTTCTCTCTCTTTTCCGCGACTTCATCGTCCTGCGATGAAATTGCAATTGTAATAGCAATTATCTTATTTCTACTATTGCTTCTTTGTACTTCGATTCGCGACATACGGTGTTGGCGGTGATGCGAATCAGAGAGAGGAGCAGCAACGTTGAAACCGTGGTTGGAAACCGTGGTGGGAAGAACGGGGTGGAAAGATCGCGAATGGAATTAAACGTTGGCGGGATGGTCGTGACGCAATTTAAGTCGTGTGGCCGTTTACTGGGGCGGAATGACGAGTCTTTTAGCTGAATATTGCCAGCGTGAGTTACAACCGGCTTTCTCTCTCTCTCTCTCTCTCTCTTCCCCTGGTATTGTTGCATTTTTCATTCGCCAATTATTAGCCGGAACACACCGGCTCCTCTTGGAAAGGACTCGAAAAATTGACTGCGCACGGACTGCTACGCTTTTTTTTTTTTTTCCCTACCTACGTTTCCACACTGTAGACAAACGATAAACTTTATTTCAATCTTCGTGCAAAATTGAAGGGAAACGAAAAGTTTCCAACCGACCTTTCTCTCGTGCAGAAATATATATCCAGTAGCCGAGCTTTTTTAATCATTGACCCTTTGGTTGACCGGTTACGAAACCGGAAAGTAGCACGGGTTGGAAACGTTGGTACCAAATTGCAGGAAGAGGGCGAGGATGAAGGGTCTAATTTCGAGAAGGCAAAGTCGCAAAGTCGAAAACTTGTCCGCATTGCGACGCTTGTTAAAAACATAGTAAAGATAGATGTTTGGAATAGTTGGTTTACAAAATTAATCGCGGGAAGGGGGAGGAAGGATGTTGGAGGAAGGAAGGATGGACGAAATCGTAGGAAATCGTGGATGATACGTAACGACTCACGCTACACGAGGTGAAATTCGAAGTTCGAAGTAATCAATATTATAGCTCGTGAAGATATACGATGCGAGAGAATGTGGGCAAACGGTGTACACACGTGCATTGTAACACGGTGTAATGGGGGTAGGAGGAGGTTGAGGGTGTAAGAAGGGTGGAGAAAGAAGGGAGGGAGGGGGGGAGGTAGAAAGCGGAGGAGTGAAGGGAGACCGAAGGGGTGCCGGAGGATGGAGTTCGAGGTGGAGAAGAAGGGGTTGAAGGGGGCCGCGAGGTTCATACAGCGAGGGCTCCAGCCCGCGGGGGTGAAATGGGGGAAGGAAAGGGGTGGACAGCCGGACAAACAAAACCCTTGCTGCTTCATTTCTGCCCGTCTGGCCAGACACCGACCCTTTATACGCGCGCGCTTCCGTCCTGCGCTCGGCTCGTTCATTCCCTTCCTCCTCGACCGGCCCCCCTCCCCCGGAATCCCTCCTCAATGCTTCGTCGAGTTCAGTACTTTCAGTACGTTACTTTTCGAGTTCGTTAATTAACGGCACCGTCGCCTCATTGGCGGGCCTCGCGTCCAGTCGAAGGATACGTCGGAATGGGTTTCGACGAGTCAAGCCACCCTAAAAGCGTGGCCACATTGTCCTTGGCTGACGGGATTCAAGTTTCGATGACGGGAGACGATAGGTGGTGGTCTTTCGCCGATGGTCTTTGAATCATTCCAATGGGAAGGATAAGTCGTGGCGACGTTTATTTATTCGGACGAATGAATTAACTTTTTTTTTTCTTTTTCTTCTTTTTTTTATTTTTATTTTTTTTTATGTTTTACTCTTTATTTTTAACACATAGGTGTGTTTTCTTGCTTCAGGTCAGTGGTGTATACTTCCCAGGCTTCTGAGACAAAGTGACATGGCTTGTTAATGTGAGTTGAACGATTATTTTTGTACGCGACGTGCAATTTTTTTTTCTTTCTTTCTTTTCTTTTCTTTTTTTTTCTCTCTCCTTCTTTCCGTTTTTTCTTTTTTTTTTTCTATTTCGTCGGACGTGTCAAATTTTGTATAATTCTTTTTTCCTTTTATCGATAACTTACGTCGGTCCTCGCGATATTATTTTTGGACAAGTTCCAAAACAAAGTACGTAAGTTGGACAGAGACGAAGAGAGAGGGTTGAACGAGCTCGTGGGGTCTGGCGCACGTTTTACTCCCCGTCGTTTTAGGGGGATGAACGATGCGAGACATCGATAATCGCATTTGTTGTACGACCACCGATATCGAAACTTTCGGAATTTCGTCCAGTTAAGAAGCAAGGGAAGTTTATGACTTAGGGAATATTTTATATTATTCGAGTATTCCTTTACCTCTTCCTCCGTCTCGTCCCTTTCCCAACGTCCAAATTTCTCTCTCTTCTATTCATCCACGTATCAAAAATTTATATACGATACCAGTCCAATCTTTCGTATTAACGGCGAATTTTTCACGACGATTAAAACTCGAGAAACAATCTCGAGAAATCCGTGCTGTTTCGGGGTGCATTTCAGCGTACGCGTTAATTGCGAAAAGCGAGAGGGCGGAAAACGCGGAAAACACCAACGCGAATAACAGGGTGGTTTATTTCCAACTCCGGTGTTGCGAACTCTTCTCTTTTTCTCCTTTTTTTTTTTCCTTTCTTCCTTTTTTTTTCCCCTCCTTTCTTTTTCTCTTTTTCTTTCCTCTTTTTCCCTCTTTGCTTCTCACTGTGAAGAACACTCGGCGCCAAAGTGGGAGCTAATAACATAAATGAGGAACACAGCGCGTTGCTTCTTTTTGTTCCCACCCCCGCGCGCGTTTCCTTTCTTCCGTTCGTTTTTTCGCCGGGCCAGCCGCTCTACGTATAAAGTGGCGAATATGGGGTGTGAAATGCATGTCGGTTTCACGGGGGGTTGCCGGGCGTGTAATAGTGGGGACAGAAAAGAGCGGTGGAGAGAGGCGCGCGTGGCAGAGAGGTCGGGTTCTGGAACGGGCTCGAGTTGCAGGAGTCAACTTGGCGCTCATTGGCTACTTGCTGGCGACCGCCACTCGCGAAACATTAGTATTCTCTGCTAATTAAAATGTAACTGAAATTGTAATGGTCTGCGTGTGGCGACGATACGCCGGGAAAACCGAGGGGGGATGGCGGACGAGGCGAGACAGAGAGCGAGAGAGAATCGGAGGAGGCCGGTGGCGGTGGCGGGGCGTTACACCGTGCACCAAGGTAACGGACGATGTGTGCTTTTTCATGCTCGGCTTGGGGACTGAATAGAGGAAAACGTCAGAACGTTCCGCGGAAAAAAAAAAAAAAAAAAAAAAAAAAAAAAGACTGCATCACACCGCGATTGTTCCTATTACTTTTGTCCCGGTGTATTATGATTATCGTCGGTGATAGCGCCGCGGCAGAAAGAGGGACGAAATCTAAACGTGAAACGTAGGGAAAAATCCGCGAGCTTTTTTCTTTTCTTTTTTTTTTCTTTTTTTTCTTTTTTTTCGTATAGAAGAAAGTTTATCGTCAAAATGTATATACGTATACACGGTATTTTACGACGCGTTCGAGTATGAAAAAGAAAAAAGAAAGACGAGAAAAGAGGATAGGTGATAAAAAAAAAAGGCCGAGTTCGGTTTCTTGTGGGTATATTCGAAAACGCGCCACCTTCCGGCCCTTAAATCACATCAACCCTCGAGGTACCCTTTTCACCTCTTTTCCCCGTTATCTCCACGCCGTCTCGTCTTTCGCTCTTATTTTATTTGTTTCGCTTATCCACGCCGTTCTGGAAGCTCGCGCAGATTTCGCGGCAATTTACTTTATGCGCGTTACGTCGTTTTCCGCCCTCTCGCTTCCACCCGGAGTGGCGTAGCCACCCTAACGGCAGTAGGTATCGTTTCATTCGACTCAGACCGCCCTCTCACCCTTACGATGTTCTTATGGGACTCACACCAGGGCCACGTTGTACGTGCACGTACAACAGAAACCCGGCAACTTGTGTGGCTCGTTCTATCGTTGGGCCACCCCCGGGGTGTTGAAACTCTTCTGCACTTATTTCGCGCTAATTCACCCCTCAAGACCGCTTACACGCCCTCCTCCCCCTCCCACCGCATCCACGGCGAACCAGTTAGCTTTTTTTTCTCACGTGCCGTGAAGCAGTTCTCGTTAAGCGGTTAAGGGTGAACTCCGTTAAAGAGGGGTTGTAAATTCATTGACCGACGAAAATACTCCCGCCGGAATTCCTGGAAGCATCTTTCGAGCTTCTTCGATTTCATCGATACCTCTTTTACTATTTCTCTCTCTCTCTCTCTCTCTTTTCTCCTCGAGGGGGTGAATAAATAATCCACGTATACGTTGCATATCCACTTCAATTTCGATGAGGGTGGTTAGGTCGTCGAACTTGATCATCTCGATCGATATCTCGAGCAATTTTCGAATCGAATCGTTGTTCCATCCTCGCTCTCGTATCGTCGCGTGTATCGTCAACGAAATTCGAAGAGAGGAAAGAGGAAAGAAGGAGGAGATGAAGAAGAAGAAAAAGAAAATGAAAAAGAAAAAGGAAAAGCAAAAAGATTTCTCCATTAGTAGGACATTTGCATTGAACGGTTGACAAGCGGCAACAAAGGCAGGCTCAGAATTTTCGTCGTAAATAAGCATTACGATATAATTTTCTGTCACAACAATGGCTGCCGGTGTTACAAAAGGTTTAGCCACGAGGCGACCGCCGAGGCTACTACCCCCGTGGACAATGAGAACGTCCGCGTTACGCCATAAATTGATTTGCGAAAGCGTTCCTGAAAAAGCTCGCTCCTCTCAGCGAGGAGAGAGAAGAGTCCGCCGTGTGGCCAGCCGGGGTGGGGCTACCCACCAGGCTTTTGAGCTTATACCGCAAAAATTACGTCGCGAGAGGGATTGTATTTATGTTACATAATTACGCCACGCGCGACCAGCGGATAGAAGGGGTGCGGCCGGTGGGGCGAGGCGGAGGTAGTTATGAAGGGGGTGGTACGCGAAGAGGAACCAGCCAGAAGGGGGAGGGAGAGTGGGAACAGAGGAGGAGGAGGAGGAGGAGGAGGAAAAAAACCGCCTGGTCGAGGAAAAGTTTTTCGGCGGCTGGCTCGACCGACCGACCGACCGACCGACCAACCAACCAACCAACCAACCAACCAACCAACCAACCAACCACCCGGCTAATGAATAGAAATAATTCTCGTGCAATTGTGCTTTTCGGTAGTTTTCAATTAACAGTCGCCCCTTCCCCCTCCCCTATCCTTTTACGCCATTCTCCGCAGCGCCCTTCCGCGAATACCGTTCCGCGGAATGGACGAGCTGTAAGTTTTTAAACGGCTCGAACGCGCGCGATTCGTACCGTGTAATTACACCGTTTTTCCCCTCCCCCTCCTCCCTCTCCCCCCTTTTCTTCTTTTCGGGGCTGGTGGTCACCGCCATTGTGTGCCTGTGCCGAAAAATTCCACTTTTATTATACTCTCCCCCTTCGTTCAAGACAAACAATTTTCCTAATTATTCCACGACTTGTTGTTGACCATCTCTTCTTCCAAATCCTTTTTTTTTTTTTTTTCGTTCGAGGGCGTAAGAATAGCCGGAGCAAAAATATATATATATATATTGGTATAACGAGGAAAGGATATCGGAAGATACACCCTCTCCCCTCCCCCGTGTGTGTTGATCGCGGAAGGTAAGGTAGCTAGCCCGGAATCCCGCAAAATAAATCGGATCTCACTGTCAGTGATCCCCGGTAATATTTGTCTTTCGCCGGGCCATTTTACAAGATTTCCTATCTACTCGGCTTTATAAGCGAGGAAGACGAGGAGGAATCGGGCAGGCAACCGACCGAGGGGTGACTCGGACACGGAGAAAGGAAGAGAGAGAGAGAGAGAGAGAGAGAGAGGCGGTGGAGGTTCACGTGGTGAGATGGGGTGGGTGGGCCGCGGTGGTCGGTGTGATTCCCTGGGCTGGCTGGTATAGAGAAACGGCCTGGCGGTGGCTAGTGGTGGTGAAGGAGGTGAGGAAGGGAAAGAGTAACACGGGACAGGGTCCCGCGGGATAAAACGGGCTATCAGATGTGAAACCCACTGCGTCGAAATGTAAAAGCTTCCTGACAAATCGGTTTCTATTACCGCGTCGCGGTGGGTCGCCTTTTTTATATTGATGGCATTATTTTCCACGGAGACGGGAGACCGTATTTTCTGGACACACGTACGCATTCTCCGGGAGTACACACGGGATCAACCTCTCCCTCCCTTCCTCTTATGAATCCCGGTTATTTGCCTGGGAAATTAATGTGCGTTTACCACGTATTCGTGCGGCCGTTATATCAAAGAAACGGAGTGACGTTCGATAAAATTGGTTATTATTACCCCTTCTTATTAAGTCCTCAAGGGGTTGCGCGCCCTGCTCTCGCCAGGTGCTTCGTTTCATCCTCTTTTAATTGCTCGTCACGTGACCGCCAAGTATTCGTAGAATTGGGGGGAGGAGGGGAAAAAGAAAAAAGAACGGGTATCCCCTTAGACGTTCGTCTCCTTTTTCTTCGTTAAATAAAATATCCGAGAGAGAGAGAGGAGAGAGAGAAAAGGCTAGGCTCGTGCCTTCTCCTCTATTTTGAAAAAAAAAGAAAAATCGGTGGCGATGGAACGGGGGTTTGTCCCGCCAGGAAGAGAATCTTCTCGTCGGACAAAAGCGGTCTCGATGTCCTCGAGGATTCGTGCAAAAAAAAAAAAAAAAAAGAAAGAAAAAAGAAGAAGTAAGAGCGCGCACGTGGAAAGAGGTTGGCGGAGGTGGGCGGAAGGTGGGTGGATGAGGGGCGGTTGGGTGGTTGAAAGGGGTAAGGTGGGCGGGCGAAAAAAACATCGGAAAAGAGTTCCGTGGGGCTGGATGGTGTGAGAAGGTGCTGGAGCCAGACAGTCAGAC